CTTTAATGAGACGATGCTGTAGTCCGGCTGTCGTGAGCCTGTTGTCGAACTGTCTAGTGAGGCTGTAGTCAGGCTGTCTAGTGAGGCTGTAGTCAGGCTGTCTATTGAGGTTGTAGTCGGACTGTCTAGTGAGACTGTAGTCAGGTTGTCTATTTAGGTTGTAGTCGGACTGTCTAGTGAAGCTGTAGTCAGGCTGTAGTGAGGCTGTCGTCAGACTAGTGAGGCTGTAGACCAACTGTCTAGTGAGACTGTAGTCAGACTGTAGCGAGGTTGTAGACGAACTGTCTAATGAGGCTGTCGTGAGGCTGTAGTCGGGCTGCTTAGTGAGGCTGTAGTAGGACTGTCTAGTGAAGCTGTAGTCAGGCTGTAGTGAGGCTGTCGTCAGACTAGTGAGGCTGTAGACCAACTGTCTAGTGAGACTGTAGTCAGACTGTAGCGAGGTTGTAGACGAACTGTCTAATGAGGATGTGGTGAGGCTGTAGTCGGGCTGTTTAGTGAGGCTGTAGTAGGACTGTCTAGTGAGGCTGTAGTGAGGCTGTGATCAGGGTGTCGTGAGGCTGTAGTCGAACTGTCTAGTGAGCTTGTAGTCAGGCTGTCGTGAGGCTGTCGTCGTGAGCTCAAGTCGGCTATTGGATGTCTATGGGCGCCTCGGTCACGCTTCACGCCTCTGTGAGTGCTTGCTTAGTGTGGAGAGGGAGCCTCATTCACACTCGCACCACCATCACCACATACATCATCATCAGCACCACCACCGCCACATTCATCATCATCACCACGTAAACCATCATCATCACCACCACCACATACATCATCACCACATTCATCATCATGACCCCATACATCATCTTCACCACCACCACCACCACATACATCATCACCGCTATCAATCACCGCTATCAATCACCGCTGTCAATCACCGCTGTCAATCACCGCTGTCAATCACCGCTATCAATCACCGCTATCAATCACCGCTATCAATCACCACTATCAATCACCGCTATCAATCACCGCTATCAATCACCGCTATCAATCAATCACCGCTATCAATCACCGCTATCAATCACCACAAACAAAGAGCCCCCGTATAGCCTTAACAGACTGTCGGAACAAGTGCTGTTAGCGAGCACCTATGAAAGCCGGCACGGCACGCGAGAGGGTGGGTGGCCAACACCACGCCCGGTCGCCTTTGTCTCCCCAGTGGCGATGTTCACATATCACATCAGGTACTCATTTGAAGCTGAGTGGACTTAGGGGAGGCTCAGGATCGGTTCAAATAATCGTCACTGGTGTTGGCCGTGAGCGGGAATCGAACCCGGGTCGCCAAGTTCGCCGCGCAGCGCACTAACCGCTACACTACCACTCCCCATCACAACCACTACCACATACATCACCACCACCACCAAATACATCATCACCACCACATACATCATCATCACCACCACCACATACATCATCATCACCACCAAATACATCATCACCACCACCACATACATCATCACCACCACCACATACATCATCACCACCACCACATACATCATCACCACCATCACCACCACATACATCATCATCACCACTACATACATCATCATCACCACCACATGCATCATCACCACCACCACATACATCATCACCACCACCACATACATCATCACCACCAACACCACATACATCATCACCACCACATACATCATCATCACCACCACCACCACCACATACATCACCACCACCAAATACATAATGACCACCACATACATCATCATCATCACCACCACCACATACATCTCGTAATTTGTTGGGCTCGCTGGTTACTCTTGGAAACCGCACGGTTTACAATCAATGAGTTTAGAAAGATCTTTATATATCGTTTTACACCACCATATGGATTCAAATTGTTGTCGTAGTTATTTTATATTGGCAGATTCTTACGTTATTAATTCACCGACTCTTACGTACGATATAGTTTCATACATTGAAAAAGTCACCTTGCGCACCACCCCATTGGGACATTGCCACGAACCCCATTGGGACATTGCCACGAACCCCATTGGGACATTGCCACGAACCCCATTGGGACATTGCCACGTGCCCCATTGGGACATTGCCACGTGCCCCATTGGGACATTGCCACGAACCCCATTGGGACATTGCCACGTGCCCCATTGGGACATTGCCACGAACCCCATTAGGACATTGCCACGTGCCCCATTGGGACATTGCCACGTGCCCCATTGGGACATTGCCACGAACCCCATTGGGACATTGCCACGTGCCCCATTGGGACATTGCCACGAACCCCATTGGGACATTGCCACGAACCCCATTGGGACATTGCCACGTGCCCCATTGGGACATTGCCACGAACCCACGGGTTGAGAACTGCTGCCCTAAAGTGTCACTCACTCCACGGGACCTCAGCACAACGCGGACCGATGCCTTCGGGGGTTTTATTTGATTTTATTATTCCGCAGACCGTAAACACGTGGACGGGCATGACATGCGCGCCGCTCCATCTCCCCGACCGGCGGCCCCTTAAAAAAAATGTCCACCGGCACGTGACGTCAAAACCTCAACGACCTTCGGCCGAGTTGTTTAGCCATCCGCTGGCTCTCACCACGGCCCTGGCTGGGCCCTTTCATTAGTTCCCCCCTTCTCCACACCAGGCGCCCGCCCGCTTCCCCGCCCCCCTTGCGAAACCCGTAAAGTCAATGGCCCCCATTGTAACATTCACCGCACACTCGGACAAGAGACAAAATATCCCCTCCGCCGTATAGCCTTAACGGGCTGGTGGGGGGCAAGTGCTGTTAGCGAGTAGCATCGGCACACGACGGGGTGGGTGGTCAACACCACGCCCGACCGCCTTTGTGTACCTAGTGGCATTGTTTTTACACACACGACACCTGGTAATCATTTGAGGCTGAGTCGACCTAATACATAGACAAGGTGCAGCCCTGTAATAACTTTGCTCGCGTCACTGCTGGTTGGAAGGGAACTATCCTCTCGAATGATCTATGTCTTTGGGTCTCCATGAGTCTATGGGTCTCTGAGTCTATCGGTGACTATGCGAGTCAATGGATCTCTGTGCGAGTTTATGGGTCACCGTTAGACTGTAGGTCTACGTGAAACTGGGTCTCTGCGAGTCTATGGGTTACTATTTGAGACTACTATGGGTCTAGATGTGACTATCGGTCACTATGTGAGTCTGAATCTGAGTCTGAATCTGTGTGTGAGCCTGTGGGTCTCTTGTGAGATTATGCGTCTCTGTGAGATTGGGTCTCTATTTGCATCTGTGAGTCACTATGCGAGTCTATGGGTCTCTTTGTGAGATTGTCTCCCTGTGCTTCTGTGGCTCTCCGAGTGAATGGGTCCCTATGTGAGACTATGCACCCGCCATTTGAATTCCCACCGCTGGCTCTGCAGGGCTGTAAACAGGAGATACCCACCGATGGCTCAATGCTCATGTAAGCAGCTGGGCATAGATCCCTTTGTCTTGAGTGATACACGGAGCTTAACATTATAAACATTCGACGCACAGGCACGAACACATTGTATACATTTCAGAGATAGCTATGCATAATAATACGGATGCAGTGGTTTAGCGCACTGCGCTCCGAACCCCCGCAAACCTAAGTTATATTCCCTTACCTAGCCCTCATCATCATTATAAGTCATCATCGTATATTTGACGTATGCAGAGTAACATACCCATCAACACCGTATCAGTGCCTAGCTTATTACAGACCAAGTCAGACCGTATTGGTCACTCTGTGCCCTTATAAATCCCAACGTTCATCCTACAAACTCCCATCACACGGGAGATACACAAATACATATTATTGTTCGCCCGTATTTTAAACGGCTGTGTAGGCCGTATGAACCTGAAAATCTATTTCCCTGTACAAGAGTACGGGGTATACCGTATGGGTTAAGAGCTGTGCAGAGTAAGATAATTATTATAAAATATAATTATTATAACAAAGCTTAACGTTGACTGGGCCAGCATGCAGCCACACGTGTCGCGCGACAGTCGGCAGCCAATCAGGCGGTGGCGAGTAGGATGACGACACCGCCAGATTAAAATGGCGGTGGGGGAGGGGCGAGAAATTGTACAGCCCCCCACCCATTCCTTCCTCCAGGGCCACTGCCAACTCCTGTTGACGGGCGTCTATGTGAGTCTATGGGTCACTGTGAGACTCTGGGCCTCTGTGAGTCTATAGGTCTCTATGCAAATCTGTTGGTCTCTATAAGTCTAAAGGTCTCTGTGAGTCTATGGGTCTCTATGTGAGTCCATGAGTGTACATACGAGTCCTTGGTTCTCTGTGCAAGTCCATGCATCTCTGGCAAATCTATTGGTCCATATGAGTGCATGGATTTCAATGTCACACTCCACGGTGGCATAGCTGTTAGGTGTGCAGGCGGTGCAGCTGCACTGGGGGTGGCACTGCCCAGGAGGGGGAGGATTGTGGACAGCATGAGAATCCCTGAATCAACCTGACTGCCAAGTGCACTGTATGTACAGTAAACATGCTACAAAAGGAATGTTTTAAAACGCAAGAACGTTTGGGAGGCGTGTGTGTGTGTGTGGCGAGGTGTGTGTGTGACCCACACATTACACAAACAGTGCGGTACACACACACCACGGTACACATACTACAGTAAACATACAGACGCAGTCCACACACACACACAAAGTGTGGTCAACACACAGACGCAGTCCCACACACAGACACCGTCCACACACACAGACACAGTCCACACACACAGACACAGTGTACACACACAGACACAGTGTACACACACACAGACACAGTGTACACACACACAGACACAGTGTACACACACACAGACAGTGTACACACACACAGACACAGTGTACACACACAGACACAGTGTACACACACAGACGCAGTACACACACACAGCCAGTCCCACAAACACAGTGTACACACACAGTGTACACACACAGACACCGTCCACACACAGACACAGTGTACACACACAGACACAGTGTACACACACACAGACACAGTGTACACACACACAGACACAGTGTACACACACGCAGAGGCACGGCGCGGTCCGCACGGTGCAGCAGGCAGTGCGGTCACAGCTCGTCAAGGGCGTCGCGCGTGCTGGCCCACACGTTGACCATGCTGGCCAGCTCCTGGCCCTTGCGCTCGAGGCGCAGCACGTGGAGCTGCTTCTGCTGCGTGGGCTCCGAGGGCACGGCCACGCGGCCCAGCAGCGAGTCCGACAGGACGCCCTTCTCCCACACCTGCGCGCAAACACAAAGGTCCTGAACCAGCGTGGCTTCCAGCGCGCCGTGGTGAACACGCCCGCCGGCTGGCCGCCTTCGTCTGCCGCCCGGTACCCGATGTTGATTGCGCACCGCGCCGCGAGGTGAACTCGTTTAGGGGCTGAGTCGACCGAGAGGAGGCCCAGATATCCGCTGTCACTTGTTGTTGATTGTGAGCTGGGAATTGAGAACTCGGGTCTTAGCCGGGTTCGTAGCGCTACGCTAATCACTCCACCACTAACCCCCCACAACCATTAAGAACCCCCCCCCCGTATAGCCTTAACAGACTGTTGGGGCAAGTGTTGTAAGCGAGCCCCTATTAAGGCCGGCATGCTACACGAGGGGGGTGGGTGGCAGCACCACACTTGGCCGCCTTTGTCTCCCCAGTAGCGATATTTACACATCGCACTAGGAACTCATTTGAGGCCGAGTCAACTCGGGGAGGCCCAGGACCGGTGCAGATAATCGTCACTGGTGTTGGTGGTTGACACGGCCAGTCAGGGACTCTCCACAGCTGGATAAAGCCCTACCTCTGTTGGATAAAGCCCTACCCCTGTTGGATAAAGCCCTACCTCTGTTGGATAAAGCCCTACCCCTGTTGGATAAAGCCCTACCTCTGTTGGATAAAGCCCTACCCCTGTTGGATAAAGCCCTACCTCTGTTGGATAAAGCCCTACCTCTGTTGGATAAAGCCCTACCTCTATTGAATGAAGGCCTACCTCTGTTGGATAAAGCCCTACCTCTGTTGGATGAAGGCCTACCTCTGTTGGATAAAGCCCTACCCCTGTTGGATAAAGCCCTACCTCTGCAGGATGGAGGCCTACCCCTGTTGGATGGAGGCCTACCCGTGCCGGATGGAGGCCTACCCCTGGCGGATGGAGGCCTAGCCCTGGCGGATGGAGGCCTAGCCCTGCCGGATGGAGGCTTACCCTTGGCGGATGGAGGCCTACAAATGGCGGATGGAGGCCTAGCCCTGGCGGATGGAGGCCTAGCCCTGCCGGATGGAGGCCTACCCCTGCCGGATGGAGGCCTACCCCTGGCGGATGGAGGCCTAGCCCTGCCGGATGGAGGCCTACCCTGCAGGATGGAGGCCTACCCTGCAGGATGGAGGCCTACCCTGCAGGATGGAGGCCTACCCCTGTCGGATGGAGGCCTACCCCTGTCGGATGGAGGCCTACCCCTGGCTGATTAAGGCCTACCCCTGGCAGATGGAGGCCTACTTTGGAGGATGAAGGCCTACCCTGCAGGATGAAGGCCTATCCCTGCCGGATGGAGTCCTACCCCTGCCGGATGGAGGCCTACCTCTGCAGGATGAAGGCTTAGCCCTGCCGGATGGAGGCCTACCTCTGCAGGATGAAGGCCTACCCTGTAGGATGGAGGCCTACCCTTGCAGGATTAAGGCCTACCCCTGGTGGATTAAGGCCTACGCTGCCGGATGGAGGCCTAGCCCTGCCGGATAGAGGCCTACCTCTGCAGGATGAAGGCCTACCCTTGCAGGATTAAGGCCTACCCTTGCAGGATTAAGGCCTACCCCTGGTGGATTAAGGCCTACCCCAGCCGGATGGAGGCCTACCCCTGCAGGATGAAGGCCTACCCCAGCCGTATGGAGGCCTACCCTGCAGGATGAAGTCCTACCCTGTAGGATGGAGGCCTACCCCTGCTAGATGTATAGCTATCCCTCACACCTACACGCACACATGCGCACCGCGAGTCTGGGCCTAGCCGGGAAGGGGTTTAGAATGCCATAGTCAGCGAGCGCCTATTGAGGGTGGAGGCACGACGGGGTCCCACACCTCCACGGTGACGGGGCGGCTCGGCTTCTTGCGGTAGAAGATGGCGCGCGCGTCAAACTCAGGGCTGCTGTTCTTGTACACGCGGGAGCGAACCTTCGTGCCCTCGGCCCGCACCACTGCGTACCAGCTGCTTCCTGCGTGAAGAAGTGTGACGAGGTGCAAGAATGTTTTGTTGTGATGATGAAGTGCGTTGAAGTGTGATGAAGGGTAATGGAGTTTTGTGAAGCGTGACGAAGTGTGACGAAGAGCGGTAAAGTGTGAAGTGTGCCAGTGTGTTGTAGTATCACCACATCACATCACTAACATAACATCACCAGGTCACATCGCATGAGCACGTGGTGGTGTGGCCTACAAGCACCACAGGTCATAGCAGTGGGGGTGGCGCACCTGCCAGTCACCACAGTCAACCCTACAAACACCTGGCTCGGTCTCATCACCAGCAAGCAGCGGGAGCCTTCCACACATCACGTGACGGCCTCAGGGTTCACCTAGCCTGGCTCAAGCACCGCGGTGACTTCATCGCCACTTGGTGGCAAATGGCTCCTGTTGTGTGGGGATCGGTAAGGGCAGTGGTTAGCGCGCTGCCCTGCTGTTGCTGTGGCTGCTGCTGTCGTTGGTGTGGCTGTTGTTTGGGGAGCGGTAAGTGCAGTGGTTAGCCCGCTGCTGTTGCTACTGCTGCTGGTGGTGTAGGTGTTGTTGGTGGTGTGGCTGTTGTTGTTTGGGGAGCGGTAAGTGCAGTGGTTAGCCCGCTGCTGTTGCTACTGCTGCTGGTGGTGTAGGTGTTGTTGGTGGTGTGGTTGTTGTTGTTTGGGGAGCGGTAAGTGCAGTGGTTAGCCCGCTGCTGTTGCTACTGCTGCTGGTGGTGTAGGTGTTGTTGGTGGTGTGGCTGTTGTTGTTTGGGGAGCGGTAAGTGCAGTGGTTAGCCCGCTGCTTTTGCTACTGCTGCTGGTGGTGTAGGTGTTGTTGGTGGTGTGGCTGTTGTTGTTTGGGGAGCGGTAAGTGCAGTGGTTAGCCCGCTGCTGTTGCTACTGCTGCTGGTGGTGTAGGTGTTGTTGGTGGTGTGGCTGTTGTTGTTTGGGGAGCGGTAAGTGCAGTGGTTAGCCCGCTGCTGTTGCTACTGCTGCTGGTGGTGTAGGTGTTGTTGGTGGTGTGGCTGTTGTTGTTTGGGGAGCGGTAAGTGCAGTGGTTAGTCCGCTGCTGTTGCTACTGCTGCTGGTGGTGTAGGTGTTGTTGGTGGTGTGGTCTGACCTGACCCGGGCAGCCCCACGGCACTGAGCAGGTGGACGGACGTGACACGCACGGGGTACCCGACCAGACACGTGCAGCAGCCCGGCTTTGGCGCGTGCTTGTGCAGCTCCCTGCACAAAGACGGAGAAGATCCCCCCCCCCCCGTGTAGCCTCAGCAGACTGTCGGGGCAAGTGCCGCGAGCGAGTAGCAAGCGCCTACAGCGGCCGCCCGGCACTGTGGCAACACGATTGGGGATGGATGGCCAATGCCAGGCCCCGGCCGCCCTTGTTGCGCCAGTCCTGGTGTTTGTTACGCACCGCACCAGGTACTCATTTAAGGCCGGGGGCAATGATCGAACTCTGGTCGCCGGGTTCTGCAACGCAGCACCCTGCGCGCACAACCGCACATACCGCATCATCATAACATGCACCACACATACACCACCACAAGGATACGCGACGGAGACACACAGCGTGTTGGGGCGAGTGCTGTTCGCGAGTGGCACCTATGAAGGCAGGCACGGCAAACGATGGAGGTGGGTGGCCAGCGCCATGCTCAACCGCCCGGCCACCCTGGCCTCCCCAGCAATGATTTAGGGTTGAGTAGCGTACAGCGATCCCTCGCCAACCGCAGAATTAATGTACACACCCGTTTATTATCTGGAAACTAATTTACCTTACGTGGCCTGGAAATGTTGAGTATCTGACGGGTTCAGCACGGGTCCACAACCACGCAGTCACAAATATTGCGGGAGGCCGCGGTTCTCCTCCGCGCCACCGCGGCCACGTGTGGAGCTGTGTCGCTCATCAGCTGCCTCTGTGCCTGCCTCCTCGTCTGTGTCTGCCTCTGTGCCTGCCTCTGTGCTTGCCTCCTCGTCTGTGCCTGCCTCCTCGTCTGCCCACTCATCTGTCATTGATGCCCCGGAGGAAGAGGGAGGAGGGTGGGCTGAGCCCCTCCTCCGTTTAAGCAGCCCTTTCCCCATCACCTCATTGTCATTATCATCATCATCATGGACTTCTAACCTCTATTAAAAAGTATGTAAAGTTAACTTAACGTTTATTCATGCTTTACAATCATGCAATGCACTGTATTTTATTCGGTGTTTAGTGAAGAACCTAGGCAACTTAGTTAAGCTATGACAAGTCTGACCGTGGCATTTCCCATAGGCACTATACCTTAACTGCGGATTTTCCGACCGCGACATTTTCCCACGAACCGAACCCCCACGTTAGGCGAGGGTTTCCTGTATTTGCCTATACCAGCCTTCTGGTGAGCCAGGTGTGATCCACCAACCCTCACGTGCACAGTGACAGCGTATCGCACCTCCAACGATCAGTTGGCTACGTACGGTGCGAAAGAAGTTCAACGTGCGTACACGGTGCTGGATTACAGGTGTCTCTGCAGCGATCACCCCCCATTGTGGCCCCAATTTTTTTTTATAATAATCATCTGTATTTTATTAAATACTAGTAGGAAGTACCTGGCTTTGCCCGGCTTTGACAAATATATTTCGAAACTTGTCTTCTCAAAAAACATAACATATAGGTACACAAATACTAAGCTATTGTGAAAGCACGGCGTTCTGTTTGTCCATTTGCCCGTCAAAATTATAAGAGGCATGCAGAAGACCTGAATCAAAAAGTAATAGAAAGTGGGGGGGGTAAATAGTTGATCTAAAGATTTCCAAAAATTGTCGACCCCCCCTCCAAAAATCTTTTTACCCCCGCCAGCCAATTTTTATTTGTAGGCATACACACCCTACATACAATGAAGTCAGTAGTATCTAATGACTCTATAGTAGTACCTACTGACTCTAAAGTAGCATCTAGTGATTATATTGTCGTGTGTAATAGCGCCGTCTGTTGTCCAACAATGACAACTGCGGTGGACGAGCAGTACACACGCCGGTGAGCATATACGCGGCTGTGTCGGTAGGGCGGAGGAACTGGGGCAAGGGACAGGGAGGACCCCATTTGGAAGCACCTGGAACCCGCTAGTGGGTTCGAGAAAGGAGGCGCGTCCAGGGCGGAGCCAGGCCGCGCCAGGTAGCATAAGCCAGGTAGCATAAAGGCAGTGGAGAGCGGGAACTGGTGGCTGCCGGTTCTGGAAAGTGGACTCGTCTCGTCGTCGCTGTCTTCGCCGCCTTCGTCGCTGCTATCTTCGCGAAATATTGCTCTGCGCAGCCGGATAGTTGTTGGCTGTCTCGGTCGGAACCGTCAGTGTAACATGGTCAGGGTTGTGTTAAGGCTGGGCTAGACGACTTGGGAGAAGCGAGGGCAAACCTGTGAACCTGAAGTGTTGAATAAAGGTGCCTTCTCAAGAACCTTGTCTCCCACTCTGCTGACACTACAGTAGTGTCTAGTGACTCTACAGTAGGAGCTACTGACTCTACAGTAGCATCTGGCTCTATAGTAGTATCCACTGACTCTACAGTAGTATCTACTGACTATAGTATCTACTGGCTGCATAGTAGTATCTACTGACAGTAGTGTCTACAGACACTACAGTAGTATTTACTGACTATAGTATCTACTGACTCTGCATTAGTATCAACCGACTGATGTATCTAATGACTATAGTAGTATCGACTGAAACTCTAGTAGTATCTATTAACTCTATAGTAGTATCCACTGACTAGTAGTAACTACAAACTCTATAGCAGTATCTTCTGCTTCTATAGCAGTATCCACTGACTCTAGTCGGAGCTACTGGCTGCAGTAGTATATACCGACTGTAGTAGTATCTTCTGACTCTACAGTAGTAACTACCGACTCTACAGCAGTATCTACCGACTCTACAGTAGTATCTACCAACTCTACAGTAGTATCTACCGACTCTACAGTAGTATCTACCGACTCTACAGAAGTAACTACCGGCTCTACAGTAGTAACTACTGATTCTTATAGTAGTATCTACTTAGTTTCCAGTAGTATCTACTGACCCTACAGTAGTATGTACCGACTACAGTAGTATCTACTGACTGTAGTCATAACTACTGACTCAACAGTAGCATCTACCGACACTACAGTAGCAGTTATTGACTCTATAGTATTTACTGAGTCTACAGTCATATCTACTGACTGCAGTAATATCTGACTGTAGTAACATCTACCGACTCCATTGTAGTATGTACCGACTCTACTGTAGTATCTATTGACTGCAGTAGTATAGACCGACTCAATAGTAGTATCTACTAACTTTATAGTAGTAACTGCACATTGAGGTGGGGGGGGGGGGGGGCGGAGAATTAACGCGAAAGAGAACCTAGCTCACGTCGCCGCCGAGCGAGCTCGTGTGCATTGCTAGGGGCAATCACGAGTCAGTGTTTCCGTGCATGCGCAGATGCGTGCCTTGGCGCCGCGATCAGCGTAATATTAAACGGTTATGAAGTGCGAATGAATTAGTTTACATTTGACGGGAGGGGAAAAACAAATAGCGCGTTTTCATCCGGAGGCTTAGCGCGTTGTGTCGGTGTACTTGGTTGAAATGTAGACCCAACCGTTTGTCAGTTAAACGCATTGCAAGGCGTGCGCAGATAGATAGAGAGACGGACAGACAAAAATGTACTTTTATAGGTAAGATCCATTCCGTTCTTGATATGGCCGGTGATTACTTCTGACGATCGCGTATTAAGTGATGTCACAGAGGGCGCAGATTGAATGGCTTTTGCTTTATGAATGCGGTGGTGGCCCTATTTAATTAAGGTTGGAGGCTACATAATTGGGGGGGGAGGTAATTAGATACTACTGTAGAGTCGGCTATTTAAATAGGGGGGAGTATTTAACGAGTGGGGCCTATTTAAATAAGGGGAAGTATTTAACTAGTGGGGCCTACATTTTTATTTAAAGCTTTTGTGACTGCAGGGATTCTTATTCTTGTTTTTTTTTGGTATCATCATCACACCCGATGATGATTGCTTGTGTTGCAGTCGAAACGTCGTCAGAATTTTAATGTTTTATATTTTTATTATTTTATTGTTTCCCTTCTACGTGACTTTACCGAAAGAACCAAGAATATATAGCGGGGCCTATTTAAATAGGAAGGTGGGGGGGCATATTTTAAACACTTAAAATCCCAGAACCGCCCACTCCTCCACCCTCCCTTGCACCCCTTCCCCCACATCCCCCACCCCCGAGGCCCCCCCCCTCCCGTTTCCGGCGGTTAGTTACCGGCACTGGGACTTGACGTCGGTGAAGACGCGGAGGAGGAAGTCTCCCTCCTCTGCCGGCTGGAAGGTGGTGGGCACCACCACATAGCGGCCCTGCGGCAGCTCCTTGCGCATGAACACGCTGCATGAGTTGATGTACACCGACTCGGCCATCTTCTCCTGGATCGTGTGCACGCGGTACTTGCGGTTCTGCTCCACCTGCGGAGGTTAAAGGCAGAAGGTGGGTCCCCACTGACACCACCCACTACCAGCGCCCACCACCACCACCCCGTGTAGCCCTTAACAGACTGTAGGGGAAAGTGCTCTCTTCACAAGTAACGGCCGCCGATGAAGGCCGTCACACGGAGGGGGGCGGTCAGGTGGGTAGCACCACCACGCCCGACCGCCTTTGTCTCCCCGGTACCGATGTTAACTACACACCGGGCCAGGTACTCATTTGTGGTTGAGTTGACCGAGGGGTGGTCAAGAACCGGTTCTGAATATCTCGAGGCCCATGGCCAGGTGGTGGCGTTAGTGTTAGGGGTGGAGGGGGCCCCGTACCCTGAATATCTCGAGGCCCATAGCCAGGTGGTGGTGTTAGGGGTGGAGGGGGCCCCGTACCCTGAATATCTCGAGGCCCATGGCCAGGTGGTGGCGTTCGGGGTGGAGGGGGCCCCGTACCCTGAATATCTCGAGGCCCATGGCAGGTGGTGACGTTAGTGTTTGGGGTGGAGGGGGCCCCGTCCCCTGAATATCTCGAGGCCCATGGCCAGGTGGTGGTGTTAGGGGTGGAGGGGGCCCCGTACCCTGAATATCTCGAGGCCCATGGCCAGGTTCTCTCCGGCGCCCTCCTTGCGGTGCTCCCGCCGATCGCGCTGCTGCAGGGACACGAGGACGGCGTCCGTCTCCTTCTTCACGTCGAACACAAACTGCGCTCGCACGGTGGCGGCAGTTGCATCGGGCAGCGTTAACATCGCCATCGGCGTCATCAGAAGCAGCATTAATATCATCGTGTGGAAAATAAGAATAGGTTTTACCCTTTCTGGCAATAGTACAACAGTTGTGTTAAGATGTTCAAACACCAAATAGATATTATTCTTTGGTTCTTTCGCTAAAGTCGCGTAGGAATAAATTAAATAATAATAGAATACGACATTTCGATTGCAACACAAGCAACCATCATCAGGTACAAATGAATGAGAAAACAAACATAGAAAACTTGGAAATATAATGCAATACAACACAGAGTAGGCCAACACAAATCAACACCCCACCTGGTTGATTACGTTCCTGCAAAGATTGCTCAATTTGAGAGAGGGACAAAACATAGACACTCAGACAGACACGCAAGCAGAAAGAGACTCACACAGTACCCAGCTCGTCCGTCCGCTTTGGGCAGCCATTCCACACAACTCCCCCTCTGCCCCCCCACCCCTCTCTATTTAAGGCCTCGACACAGAGACGTCTTTCTGTGTGCCTATGTGTGTCTCTCTCTCTGTTTGTCTCTGTGTGAGTCTCTCTCAAATTTAGCCATCTTTTGAGGAACGTAATCAACCAGGTGGGGTATTGACTTGTCTTGGCCGACTCTCTGTGTTGTATTGCATTACATTTCCAAGTTTACTATTGTAGTGACTGTGATTGTCACTGTGTGGTGTCGGGCTTACGAAGCCACGGCGGATAATGTGTTGGCCTTACGTGTAGCCCGCTTACTGGGCGTAGTACCGGCCCTAGCGGGGCTTGGGTGGGCGCTGGTCAGCGCGGAGGCACCACGTACAGTGTGCGGTGCGGGCTCCCGGTGAGGGAACGAGCGGGAGTGTCGGCCAGCCAGGGTTACGTTGGGGCATGATACGCCGGTTGACCTGCCGACACGTGACCGAATAATATTGGAGGGGGACCATCGGTGGACGGGGGCCGCTGGGTGGTCACGTGGTCTAAAGGAGCTCTCGGGGAGCCTTCGAGAAAGAGCCGGAGAGATCTGGAAGGTGGGTGGGGCGAGAGGTGGAGCCAGCCCCAGCCCAGGCCGATATAACCGGGGCCCCATGAGGGGCTCGGGGTTCTTCGTGTTGCTGGTGATGAAGATCCATGTCGGGTAAAAGAAGCCTCTAGCCACGCGGTCCGGGACCCAGCTTGTGGTCCGGGTCGGAATAGCGAACCGTGTCTAGTGCTGCCGTAGCGTGGCTAGATGAGCATTCAACACCCAAGTGTAGGTTGTGTTATGTTATGTTGATTTATTGAATAAATAGTGTTGCTGCCAAGACAACATCTGCGACTCAGTTGGACTCACTACACTATGTTTGTTTTCTCATTCATTTGTACCTGATGATGGTTGCTTGTGTTGCAATCGAAACGTCGTATTCTATCATCATTTAATTCAATTTCTTTCTACGTGCCTTTAGCAAAAGAACCAAATAATAATTCCTGCAATCACGAAAAGCTTCGAATCTAGTTTGAACCAAATAGATACCTCTTGCAATGAATCAAGTCTGCATTAATCACACACGGTACTTGTGGTGATACTAGCAAAAAGGTCCCACGCTATAGCAATAATATCATCGTCATCAGCAGTATTAATATCATCATCATCTTCTTTGGTTCTTTCGGTAAAGTCACGTAGAATGAAAATAAAATAATAATTTGATAAAATAAAATAACACAATAAAATTATCACGACGTTTCGGCCACAACACAAGCGGCCTTCATCAGGTGAAGGGACGAGACTGTCTGGAGGACAGCGCTGTCCTCCAGACAGTGTGGCCGAAACGTCGTGAGAATATTATTGTGTTATTTTATTTTATCAATTTATTATTTTATTCTCATTCTACGTGACTTTACCGAAAGAACCAAAGAAGATGAATCCTTGCAGTCACGAAAGCTTTAAATCGAAAAATCATCATCAGCAGCAGCAGCATCACCGCATGCATGACCAGGTCCCTGCATCTCCCATGTCTCCGTGTGCCCCCATGTCCCCCGTTCCCCCCCTCCCACCCCCTCCGTGACCCCTTTGCCCCCTTCCCCCCCCCCCCAATGTGCCTGCCCCCCATGCCTGTGGGTTTTGCAGGAAGAGCGTGCGGTCGTTGATGCAGCCGCCCGCGCGGTTGCTGTGGGGGTCGTCGTGGTGACGCCACTGTCCCCGCAGCATCACCTCCTCCCACGTCTTGTGGAAGCTCAAGTATGACGTGTTGATGATGCTGAGACGCGGGGAAACGGGGACACGGGGGTAGGTACGACGTGTTAATGATGCGGAGACACGGGGACCTAGAGACATGGGGACACAGAGACACAGAGACACGGGGACACAGGGAGACACGGGGACACTACGGAGATACGGAGACACGGGGACAAGTACGAGGTGTTGATGATGCCGAGACGCGGGGAAACGGGGACACGGAGACATTGAGACACGAGGATACGGAGACACGGGGGTAGGTACGACGTGTTAATGATGCGGAGACACGGGGACCGAGAGACATGGGGACACAGGGACAGGGAGACACGGGGACACGGAGATACGGAGACACGGGGACAGGTACGACGTGTTGATGATGCTGAGACACGGAGACCTAGAGACATGGGGACACGGAGACACAGAGACACGGGGACTGGTACGATGTGTTGATGAGGCACAGAGACACGGGGACTGGTATGATGTGTTGATGAGGCACAGAGACACGGGGACTGATATGATGTGTTGATGAGACACAGAGACACGGGGACTGGTATGATGTGTTGATGAGGCACAGAGACACGGGGACTGGTATGATGTGTTGATGAGGCACAGAGACACGTGGTGATGATGATGGTGATGAGGCACAGAGACACGGGGACTGGTATGATGTGTTGATGAGGCACAGAGACACGGGGACTGGTATGATGTGTTGATGAGGCACAGAGACACGGGGACTGGTACGATGTGTTGATGAGGCACAGAGACACGTGATGATGACGATGATGATGATGCCACTCACCGACAAAGCACGAGGTCTGTAAAGTGCTTGCACCAATCATCAAACGTCATCCTAGGGGAGTGGCGGTGAGGTGGTGGGGGGGAGGGGGAGAGACCCCCAGACTCACTCGTCAATGTTAATACACTAAACGAGCAGCGGGTGTTATAAGAACTGGGTGTGTGCGTGTTTGTTGAACTTTTGGTGTGCGTGCAAGTTCTATTCCCGCCCACGGCCACCTACACTAGTGACGGATGTCTGAACCGGTCCTGGGCCTCCCCTAGATCGACTCAGCCTCAAATGAGTACCTGGTGAGGTGTGTAAACATCGCCACCGGGGAGACAAAGGTGGCCAGGCGTGGTGCTGGCCACCCACCCCCTACTCCCTAGCAGCACTTGCCCCGAGCAGTCTGTTAACTCTACACGGTGGGATCTTTGCCTTGTACTGTATCACGAGACATGGTGGCGGCTTGAAGGAGGCCTTCATCCAGCAATGGACTGGCCACGGCTGACGATGATAATAGTTTCACAGTTAATGAAGCGAAAGGCGTCAAAAGTGATCTTCTGCGGCTCCAACGAGCATCGAGGTGGCGCCGGTGCTCATCGCCCGTTTAAAGCCCCGCAGAGCCGGTGGTGGAAATTCCATAAGCCTATGACGGAGGGAGGAGAGCCTCTACACGGGACAACCGCCATTACCTTTGCGACGTGGTTGGTGCTCGATTTATGGACCCAATGAAAAGACAATGCCACTCGACTGATTCGGAGTGAGACCTCTGCTGTCAAACCGCAGCTGGTCATGAGCACACTGCCCAGGTATGGGAACCTCTCCACAACTGCCCCACACACACATACACTCATACACACACACACGTATATGCAAAGAAAACATTTCCCCGTATAGCCTTAACAGACTGTTGGGGCAAGTGCTGTTAGCGAGCAGCTATGAAGGCCGGCACGGCACACGAGGGGGTGGGTGGCCAGCACCACGCCCGGCCGCCTTTGTCTCCCGAGTGGAGATGTTTAGACACCTCACCAGGTACTCATTTGAGGCTGAGTCAACCTAGGGGAGGTCCAGGACCGGTGCAGATAATCATCACTGGTGTTGGTGACTGTGAGCGGGAATCGATCTCGGGTCGCAAGGTTCGTAACGCAGCGCGCTCACCACTACACCACCGTGTATACACACACACACTCACACTCGTGTATACACACGTGTATACTCACACTCGTGTATACACACGTGTATACACACACTCGTGTATACACACGTGTATACATACGTGTATACATGAGTGTACACACACGTGTATATACACACACGTGTATATACACACACACTTGTGTATACACACGTGTACACACGAGTGTACACAGACGTGTATACACGAGTGTACACACACGTGTACACACGAGTGTACACAGACGTGTATACACGAGTGTACACACACGTGTATACACGAGTGTACACACACGTGTACACACACGTGTACACACACGTGTATACACACACACTCGTGTATACACACTCGTGTACACACAAGCACACACACACGTGTACACAGACACACACACGTGTACACACACACACGTGTACACACACACACGTGTACACACACACAATGTACACACACACACGTGTACACACACACACACGTGTACACACACGTGTACACACACACACACGTGTACACACACACACACAGTGTACACACACAGTGTACACACACACACGTGTACACACACACACGTGTACACACACGTGTACACACACACAGTGTATACACACACACACACACACGTGTACACACACACACAGTGTATACACACACACACACACACGTGTACACACACACACAGTGTATACACACACACGTGTACACACACACAGTGTATACACACACAGTGTATACACACACGTGTACACACACACACACGTGTACACACACACACACACGTGTACACACACGTGTACACACACACGTGTACACACACACGTGTACACACACACACACGTGTACACACACACACAGTGTAGCCAGCACCACGCCTGCCACCTTCGCCTCCCCAGCATGCTGGGTGTTTATTTAAGGCTGAGTCGACCTAGGTGTGGGTGCTGCTGAGTGTTTTTTTTTTACCAAAACTCTCCGTCATCGGAAACGGTGACGCCCAGTTTCTCTCTCTCGCCTTTGTTCACACGAGCCCACTCCTCCGAGCTGGGGCAGGGGGAGGGGGCAGGGGGAGAGAGCAGGGGGAGGGGGCAGGGGGCAGGGGGAGGGAGCAGGGGGAGGGAGCAGGGGGAGGGGGCAGGGGGAGGGGGCAAGGGGAGGGGGCAGGGGGAAGGGGCAGGGGGCAGGGGGAGGGAGCAAGGGGAGGGAGCAGGGGGAGGGGGCAGGGGGAGGGGGGAGGGGGCAGGGGGAGGGGGCAGGGGGAGGGGGCAGGGGGAGGGAGCAGGGGGAGGGGGCAGGGGGCAGGGGGAGGGAGCAGGGGGAGGGAGCAGGGGGAGGGAGCAGGGGGAGGGAGCAGGGGGAGGGGGCAGGGGGAGGGGGCAAGGGGAGGGGGCAGGGGGAGGGGGCAGGGGGAGGGGGCAGGGGGAGGGGGCAGGGGGAGGGGGCAGGGGGAGGGGGCAAGGGGAGGGGGCAGGGGGAAGGGGCAGGGGGAGGGGGCAGGGGGAGGGAGCAAGGGGAGGGAGCAGGGGGAGGGGGCAGGGGGAGGGGGGAGGGGGCAGGGGGAGGGGGCAGGGGGAGGGGGCAGGGGGAGGGGGCAAGGGGAGGGGGCAGGGGGAGGGGGCAGGGGGAGGGGGCAGGGGGAGGGGGCAGGGGGAGGGAGCAGGGGGAGGGGGCAGGGGGAGGGAGCAGGGGGAGGGGTGGGGGCAGGGGGAGATGCAGAGGGAGGGGGGAGGGCGAAGTGGGGGGGCAGGGGGAGGGGGTGGGGGCAGGGCAAGAAGGGAGCGGTGAAGTTAAGGGCAGGGAGAAGGGCAGGGGAGGGAGGACAGGAGGAGGAGGGAGTGTTATAGCGAGCGCTTGCGTCGGTGAATGATCGTGCAGGTTTAGCGGTGAGTGTGAGCACGGGTGAATGAGTGTAGAAGTGAGTGAGACAGGTGCTAGCTAAAGTGGCCCCTTGGGATAGAGTCATCATGTTGGGTGACTTCAATGCCCGAGTTGGTCATGATGCTGGCACCTGGTCTGGAGTGATTGGAAGGCTTGGGCCAGATCAGCTCAATAAAAACGGCAGGAGGCTGCTAGATTTTTGTGCAGCCCATGGGCTTGTAATTACCAACACGCTGTTCGGGCATCGGCGCATCCACACAACATCATGGATGCATGTCGGGCCCAAGCAAGAACATCTGCTGGACTACATAGTGACGGATCAGCGGATGCGAGCCCATGTCCTTGACACCAGGACCTACCGTGGAGCTGATCTGCCCACTGACCATCGACTTGTCATCTGGAAGATGTGCCTGCCACTCTTCCACTCCGGTGGTGCGTGTACACCCAGGACCCCATTAAACCCATAGTGGCATGGTCTCAGCTAGCTGATGAAAGTTGGAAGCGAGAATTTAATCATCGCTTGCGGCTGGGGTTGGCATCATCCCCCACTTATCCTGATGTCGAGGGGAAATGGGCAAGGTTTAGGACTGTGGCTCATGCAGCTGCAATGGCTGCTTTGGGTACACGGTCCAGACCTCCAAAGACCCTGGCTGACAGAGGAGGTGTTCAGGTTGGCTGAAAAAAAAGCGACAGGTCCACTCTCACCATCTACAGCATCCCACATCAGAGAATGAGGAGGGCTTACCCGCAGCCTCACTCGGAGATTCGGAGAGCCGTGAGGCGCTACAAGGATGGGTGGTGGCCGCGGGTTGCTGAGGAGATGGAGTCTGCCTCAATGGCCCGCGATCACAAATCGCTTTTTAATTCCATCAAAAAAGAAACCTGCAGCACTACACCTATTACCATCATTAGGGGAAAGAACAGTGATCCAATCTCCGACCCCCAGGAACCGGTTTGTAGATTTGCTGAGCATTTCTGTGAGGTCCTGGGGGAGGGGAAATCCCTCAGCCTGGAAAATATCATGGGACAAAGTGGGGATGACCCTGCTGAGGCTGCGGTGCCTCAAATCTTGGAAGAAGTCACCCCCTGTGAGTGGCTGATTGAGGTGCCATCTGTTGAGGAATACTGAATGGCGATCCGGAGTCTGAGACCCGGAGAGGCACCGGGCAGAGATGATCTCCCAAGCGAAATGCTGAGGGAGGGTGGCGTTTGTGCACACTGCCCTACATGACATAACAATCTGGACCACTGGACGAGTTCCGCAGGATTGGAAGGATGCCCTGGTGGTCCCCCTCTTTAAGAAGGGGGACCGCACAGACTGTAACAACTACAAGGGAATCTCACTCCTCAGTGTGCCGGGAAAGGTCCTGGCAAGGATTATTCAACATCGCCTTGCCAGGCACGCTGAGGAGAGGCTTGCGGAGCCCCAATGCGGTTTCAGGAAGGGGCGGTCCTGCACAGATGCCATATTTTATGTCTGTCTGCTACAGCAGAGGTGTAGGGAATTCCAACAAGACCTACATCTCTGCTTTATTGACCTGGTCAAGGCCTATGATACTATCAGGAGGCCTGGGCCCTGGGTTGTTCTTTGTGCTTTTGGAGTCCCTGACCCTCTGCTCACGATCATTAAGGACCTTCATGATGGTGAGCGGGGCCGGGTAAAACTACGTGGCCGGGAGTCAGAGCCATTCCCTGTACACCTTGGGGTGCGACAGGGATGTCCTCTGGCTCCCACATTATTTAACATCTATTTCGAGCCGGTAGTTCGTGAAGCCTTCAGTAGCTGTACCGGAGGAATTTCCATCTGGTACAGATACAATGGGAGGCTGATCGATGCCCGGGTGCGGTCAAGTGATGGCTCCCTATTTCTCAACCATGTTATGTATGCCGATGATCTGGTGATTGCTGCTCACTCAGAGGAATTGGAGGCGCTACTGCTGAACCTGGATCTTGCCACTAAGAGGTGGGGCCTTACCATCAGCCCCACCAAAACTAAGCACCTACCTGGGTATTTTCTATCATTGGACACTCCACAACTCCCAATTGGTGACAGCAGAGGTCTCACTCCGAATCAGTCGAGCGGCATTATCTTTTCATCGGTTGCGTAACGCTGTGTGGAAGCTACCTGGTCTGTCGCTCCGCATGAAGCTTCAAGTCTTTTCCCTCCCTTCTCTATGCTTGCGAAACGTGGACCCCCTAATGGAACATCTTCGCCAGTTAGAAACATTTAGGCTGGCCTGCCTATGATCCATTCTGGGTTTAGCCAGGCTGGATTGTGTGAGGAGCTCAAAAATCCTTGAAATATCTGGACAAAGTCCTATCGGTAAGCTCCTCCGGCAGGCAAGGCTGCATTGGCTGGGTCATGAGGCCTGCATACCCAGCCACAGCATGCCTAAACAGCTTTTGTTTGGTTGGATCGAGGGGGCTAAACGGACGTAGCACAGGCTAGAGATGAGATGGAGTGATGTGGTACAGGAGGATGTGGAGCTGAGTAGACTTGCCAATGACTGGTACCAGCGGTGTCAAGATCGGCCTCTGTGGAGGAGGCTCGTGAAGGACGCTACTGGGCAGTTGGAGGCAGTTGCCCTCCAACAACAACGGAGGGCGGAGGATTGACGCTCACAACCACGAGCGGAGCGCCGGGTGGCTAAAGCACAACAAGTTGTCACAGTCGGGGGCACAGGTGGTGCATCAGCCAGTCATCTCAGTCAGTCGACCCGTGGTACCTGGGTCTGCCCCGTGACCTGCCAGCGGGCGTTCGACACTTCACGTGGCCTCAACGTGCACATAGCTTGGTTCAAGCATCGTGGTGACGTCACCACCACTTAGTGGCGAATGGCGGTTGTTGTTGTTGCACGGGTGAGTGAGTAAGCACGGGTGAGTGAGTGTGAGCACGCGTGAGTGAGTGTAGCGGTGAGTGTGTGTACGGGTGAGCAAGTGTGAGCACGGGTGAGTGAGAGCACGCGTGAATGAGTGTAGCGGTGAGTGTGTTTACAGGCGTCTATATAAGTGTCTGGGCAGGTGAGCATCTCTACAGGTAGGTGTCTATCTGGACAAGTGAGTGTCTGGACAGGTGAGTGTCTCTGCAGGTGGGCGTTTGGAGGGGTGAGTGTCTGGACAGGTATCTGGACAGGTGAGTGTTGGCGAGGCGCATGCTCACCCATCGCTCCAGGCCCCGTTCCACTCCTTCTCGCCCCAGGGGTTGCGCATGCGGATCATGTTGAGGCGTTCCGCGCGGAAGAACGCAACCAGGCCCTCGCCTAACCGCACGCGGCGCACGGCGGTCACCGAGTACGCATGACCCTTCACCAGGCCGCAGTCCAGGCGCGCCTCCATCTCCGTCGAGGCCAGAGCCTACGGTAACACCACGGTTACCACGGTAACACCACAGTAACACCAAGGTGACACTGTTAGCCTAGCCCAGAACCAGGCCACAGCCCAGGCGCGCCTCCATCTCCGTCGAGGCCAGAGCCTACGGTAACACCACGGTTATCACGGTAACACCACTTTTACCATGGTAACAGCAAGGTGATACTGTTAACCTGGACCTTCACTAGGCCGCAGCCCATGGGTGCCTCCATCTCTGTGGAGGCCAGAGCCTACAGTAACACCATTGTTACCACGGTAACACCAAAACATGATAAACATTAATACAGTACTGTTAACACAGGAACATACCATACACAGAGACGTTGGTTATGATTGCGGTTATGATTTTGGTTGCAATTAGGATTAGGTTATGATTGCGATTGTGGTAATGATTGCGGTTTTCATTATTTTTTATTTATTTTCATTATGACAGTGGTTATGGTTGAGATTGTGGGTATGGTTATGACTGTGGTTGAGGTTATGATCGCGGTTGTTACGATCAGCGTTGTTACGATTGCGGTTGTTACGATTAGCGTTGTTATGATCAGCGTCGTTAAGATTGCTGTTGTTCCGATCAGCGTTGTTACGATTGCGGTTGTTACGATCAGCGTTGTTACGATCAGCATTGTTACGATCAATGTTGTTATGATCAGCGTTGTTAAGATTGCGGTTGTTATGATCAGCGTTGTTACGACTGCGGTTGTTACGATCAGCGTTGTTATGATCAGCGTTGTTACGATTGCGGTTGTTACGATCAGCGTTGTTATGATCAGCGTTGTTACGATTGCGGTTGTTACGATCAGCGTTGTTACGATCAGCGTTGTTACGATTGCCGTTGTTACGAGCGCCGTTGTTACGACCGCCGTTGTGACCGCCATTACGACCGTCGTTGTTACAATTGCGATCATTGCGATCGCCGTTATGATCGGCATTGTTGCGAAACGCGGTTGTTACACTCGCCGTTGTTATGATCACGGTTGATCGCGGTTACGACCGCGGTTGTTACAACCGCCGTTGTCACGACCACCGTTGTCACGATCGTGGTTATTATAATTGCCGTTATGATCTGCATTGTTACGACCGCGGTTGTTGTGATTGTGGTTGTTATAATTGCCGTTATGATTGGCATTGTTACGACCGCGGTTGTTATGATTGTGGTTGTTATGATTGTGGTTGTTATAATTGCCATTAGGATCGGCATTGTTACGACCGCGGTTGTTATGATTTTGGTTGTTATAATTGCCGTTATGATCTGCATTGTTACGACCGCGGTTGTTGTGATTGTGGTTGTTATAATTGCCGTTATGATCGGCATTGTTACGACCGCGGTTGTTATGATTGTGGTTGTTATGATTGTGGTTGTTATAATTGCCATTAGGATCGGCATTGTTACGACCGCGGTTGTTATGATTTTGGTTGTTATAATTGCCGTTATGATCTGCTTTGTTACGACCGCGGTTGTTGTGATTGTGGTTGTTATAATTGCCGTTATGATCGGCATTGTTACGACCGCGGTTGTTATGATTGTGGTTGTTATGATTGTGGTTGTTATAATTGCCATTAGGATCGGCATTGTTACGACTGCGGTTGTTATGATTTTGGTTGTTATAATTGCCGTTATGATCTTTATTGTTACAACCGCGGTTGTTGTGATTGTGGTTGTTGCAATCGCCGTTGTGGTGGTTACGGTGGTTGCGGTGGTGGCGGTGGTGGCGGTGGTGGGGGTTGGCGCTCACGCGTATGGAACAGCTGAGCAGCCCGCCGCGCCCGTAGGCCTTGAGCATGCTGGTGAAGAGCGCAGCTCTCTCCGCGTCCTTCTCCGAGAACTTCTCCTCGGCCAGGTCGATGGACTCGGAGACGCCGCCCGTGAAGTCCACGAGGGCGTCGCTCGTGTTGCCGCCATCCAGCGCCTCGTAGCAGCCGCACAGCCTGGGGGACGTGGGACACGCGGTGGGATGATGGACGATAAAACTAATATAATACAGTAAAACGTTGGATTTCGAGCATGATTCGTTCCGGAAACGTGTTTGTAATCCAAAGCGCTCGTATATCAAAGCGCTCGTATATCAGTTGTGATCACGTGACACTCGGCAGACAAAGCGTACACGTACTACTCGTATTGCAAGACCTCGCTTGTTTATCAAATCAATATTTATTTATTTATTTTGCTCGTCTTGCCAAGTTACTCGCAATCCAAGGTTTTACAAAGAATTCGTATTTGACCAGGTAAGGCCCGCTGAGCTGTGTAGCTCTTTTTCAGAAGCGACCTGGCCATCAAAAATGACAGGCTGTGTGGAAATTTACAGCAAAATAATCTAAACACATCACGTTGATTTTAAGTGTGGGGGAACAAATTGGAGGACCTGGAGAAAAATCCACACGACCACAGGGAGAACACACAAATTCAGGAGCAAACCCACGACCTCCTGTATACCACGCGAGGTAGTTAACATCTCGCCATCGCGGCAAGCTGAGCTCCGTAGCTCCTTTTCATAAACGACCTGACCATCATAAATGATAGCCCAATGATAGCAGCAGCCAAATCCTCTAATACATAGAGATGCACAGAGATCCATACAGATACAGAGCCCCGTAGAGATACATAGAGACCCACAGAGATGCATCAAGACCCAGAGAGAAACATTGAGACCCATAGAGATGCAGAGACCCATAAACTAAACTAAAACTAAACAATTTTATTTCGCAGGTAAAGCCCACCCAGCTACTTAGCTTTTTGTTTCAGAAGCAACCTGGCTCTCACAAATGATAGCCCAACGGAGTGGCTCATCGTCATGTGGAAATTTATCGCAGCCAATACTCTACACCACTTGTTGATTCTAAACGTGAAGGGGAAAACCAGAGGACCCGGAAAAAAACTCGTGCGATCACAGGGAGGGAGAGATAGACAAGGACTTCAGGATCGGGATTGAATCCACGACCTTCTGCGTACCAGGTGAAGGAGTTGACATCTCACCACCGCGACACAGGAGAGACATGGAGACAAGGGGACATAGAGATATGAAGACACGGGGACATGGAAATATGAAGACATGGGGGCATGGAGATACAAGGCCACACAGGGCCAGGGATTTGGTGGTGGGGACACGGACCAAGACGCGATCCCTAGGGTATATAGGCATGAAGAAGAGTGAGGCAGAGTTGCTAGAGGTTACAGATATGGGGACTGCAACAAGAGGGCTCTATGGCACATTCAAACATAGCCAACATTGTGGCGTGTAGTATCTACAAGGCACGATTGTTGCAACTCACTACTCTATGGGATGTCTGGCATTGGCTTCCGGTTGCCGAATGAATACATTATAAGGTCGCACTTATTATATAAAAAGTGCTTGCCATAAATTAACTGCAATACCTTGCTGATCTCATCAAGGAGCATATATCATCACACAAACTTCGGCCATTCTCCCAGCGGCTTTTGGCTAGCCATCGTGATAAAGATGGTCACTGCATCGCGCGCTTTCATGTATGCTTCTGCGGCCGTCTGGAATGCTCTTCCTTCTGATATTAGGAAACCACTAGGAGCTTTTAAATAATCTAGATTGAAAACTTACTTCTTTAGAACTGCTTTTTGTATCTAGTTTGTTGTCCTTCCCCCGCACCTATGATAAGCACGATTGGCTAGGTACGGTGCAAAAAAAGTTCAACATACATACACCACTATACCACCAACACCACACCACCACCACTACATCCACTACTACCACCATCACCAGCACTATACCACCAGACGACCACCCCTACATCCACTCTTCCCGCACCTCCGATTGGCACGGTTGACTACGTACGGTGCGAAAGAAGTTCAACACGCAAGCATACATACAATGAGGGGCACGGAAATAGCCGAGGCACGGATACGCATGGACGCCATGTGTGGCAGTCAGAGAGCCCAGTGCACGCAGAGTCGGCTTGCTGACCCTCTTCTGTGTCCGCATGCCATCAGCAGTCTATCCTGCAGGGAGCTCTTCAGTGGACCCCCACACTCTGGCCTCTCACGATCGACATCCTCCTTAGAACTGAAAACTCCTGCTTACATCCCATCTCGATCCCCCCTCCCCAGCCAATCCGATGCTCGCTGGTTTGAATGGACCAATGGTCGATGGATCGTCAGCGGCCGTTCCGCCTGACCAATCGGTCGCCATCCCGGGATGGCGATCGCGCAATGGGCGATCGGGTTATTACGTAGTCAATAACGATCATCTTTAAGTCCGTTTCATCGCTCCAAATATCACCCCCCCCCACCCCGCCCCATCAACTCATCAATCGCTTCTCCATACTACCATCTACCCCCCCGCCCGCCCCCCCACTCCTCGTCCCACATCGTAGTTTCTACCATGGGGAGTAGGTCGCTCTCACACCGGACACGCAAACACTCGTGTCTAGCAGCTCGCCCACCCACCCATTCATGTACTCACTCACCCACTTATGTACTCACCCACCCACTCACCCACCCACTGACCGACCCACCCACTCACTCACACTGGGAGTGGGAAGCTCATAGGTCAACATACAGGGCAAGTTGGGCACCTTGGGGGACCTCACCAGTACTACAGACTGGGCCACATCACCATGAGCCATGGTCTATTCACTGCATCACCGTGAGCACCACAGTGGATAAAACACTTTCAGTTGTGGTGGTATCAGCACGAGAAGACTAATCCCCTCCGCGAGCCCTCCTGGGCCACCCACCCCCCCACTCACTTGGCGTAGGCCTTCTCGAGGAGCGCTGACCAGAACTCGTTGGCGGTGTTGGAGTGGCAGAAGAGCAGCCGGCCGCGGTGCGTGGGCAGCGAGTCATCCACCACCACGTCCACCCACTCGCCGAACCGCCAGAAGCGGAAGTGGAAGATCCCCGCGTACTTCTCGGGGTGCGCCGGGTCCCACTCCTGGCTCTTGTGGCCGGGGATCACCTGGGGGGGGGGGCACGGGAGAGGGGTGGGGGGCGCAGTTAGGGGATCTGTTAGGGTTATCAGTCATGGGTTAGGGGTAGGGTTCTTTGGGGTGAGGGGAGTTGCAGCTGCTGCTGCTGCTGCTGCTCACCTTGGTCCAGAGCTCCTGGTGCAGGGTGAGGCAGGAGGAGGCCGCCACGAACCAGCAGTTCCCCAGGGAGCCCTGCTGCAGGTCGTGGGCGCTGATGCCATCGACGAAGAGACGCGGGTCATCGCACAGCTCCTGTACGCACATCGTCGTCAGCATCATCAACATCAGCATCATCAGCATCATCATCATCGGCAGCAGCATCAACATCAGCAGGAGGATCATCAGCAGTATCATCATCGTCAGCATTACCACCAACAATATTACCATCATTATGACAAGACAAGGGCCCTAACGCAGCTGCTGTGCACATCAACAACCGCCATTCACCACTAAGTGGCGGTGACATCACCACGACGCTTGTGCCAGGCTATGTGTACGTTGAAGTCGTGTCAAGTGTCGAATGCCCGCTGGCAGGAGGTCACGGGGCAGACCCAGGTGCCATGGGTCGACTGACTGAGATGACCGAGACGACTGGCTGATGCACCACCTGTGCCCCCTACTGTGCCAACCTGCAGTGCTTTAGCCACCCGGCACTCCGCTCGTTGTTGTGAGCGTCGCTCCTCCGCCCTCCGTTGTTGTTGGAGGCCAACTGCCTCCAACTGCTCAGTAGCGTCCTTCACGAGCCTCCTCCACAGATGCCGATCTTGACACCGCTTGTACCGGTCATCGGCAAGTCTACTCAGCTCCACATTGTCTTGTACCACATCACTCCATCTCTTCTCTAGCTCGTGCCACGCCCGTTTAGCCCCCTCTATCTGGTCTAACAAAAGCTGTTTAGGCATGCGGTGGCTGGGCATGCGACTATGGTACATAACCCAGCCAAAGCAGCCTTGCCTGCTGGAGGAGCTCACCAAAGGAACTTTGTCCAGATCGTAAAAAAAAGTCCCATCATCAGCATCAATGTCAGCACCACCACAACCAACACCACAATAATCGCTATCTGTACCATCACCACCACCAACCAAAGACAAAGATTCCCCATATAGAATTAAACAGACTGTTGGGGCAAGTGCTGTTAACGAGTAGTGCCTATGAACGCTGGCACGGCCCACGAGGGAGTGGATTGCCAGCACCACGCCCGACCGCCTGTCTCCCCAGGGGCGATATTTACACACCACACCAGGTACTGATTTGAGGCTGAGTCCACTTAGAGGAGGCCCAGGACCTGGTCAGGTAATCGTCACTGGTGTTGGTGGTGGCCGCGAGTGGGAATCAAACTCGGGTGGCCAGGTTCGTATTGCAGTACAGTGCTCACCGCTGCACCACCGCTCCCAAACACCATCACCACCACCACCACCGCCAACTCTACAAGCGTGGACTCTAAAAGCTTTTCCCACGAGGCAATGACGCCTCTCGCGTCAATCGCTGAGTGTGCGTGGAAGCTACTGCAGACGGACGTGCGCGTGCAGATCAATTCAACAGTAAAAGCTTTTATGTCATATTAATGAACCGGAATAAGTGTCTAGTAGTGCATGTGCGTCTATTAGTGCGTGTGTTTAGTAGCGTGTGTGTCTCGTAGTGTGTGTGTGTGTCTGGTATGACCGGTAGTGCAGCAGAGCGCTGCGCTACCAACCCGGCGACCCGGAGTTCGATTCCCACTCACAGCCAACACCAGTGGACGATTATATGAACCAGTCATGGGCCTCCCCTAGGTCCACACAGCTTCGAATGAGTACCTGGTGCGGTGTGTAAACGTCGCCACCGGGGATGACAAAGGCAGCCAGGGGGCGTCGACCCGGACCACCCCCTCGCGCACGCCGTGGCGGCGTTCGTAAGCGTTGCCGCTCGCTAACGGCACTTGCCCCAACAGCCTGTGAGAGGCTTACGGGGGAATCTTTGTCTCGTGTGCGCGCGCGCATGTGTGCGCGTGTGCGCGTGTGTGTGCGTGTGTGTGTGCGTGTGTGCGCGTGTGTGTGTGTGTGTGTGCGTGTGTGTGTGCGCGCGTGTGTGCGCGTGTGTGCGCGTGTGTGCGTGTGTGCGCGCGTGTGCGCGTGTGCGCGCGTGTGTGCGTGTGTACGCGTGTGTGCGCATGTGTGCGTGCGTGTGTGCCCGTGTGTACACAAACCCCGGGCCGCTTCCACACAATCTCCCCGGGGGGGCTCTTCTGATAGAAGAGCGAGGCGTTGACGTGCGGGAAGAGCGGGTCCGTGAAGAGCTCCCGGCGCCCAAGGCACGCCTTGCGCAGTGCCGAGTAGCTCTGGTCGCGGTACGGTCGCGCTGCAGGCATCGCAGCGGGGGGTACACCACGGCGGTCCTGGAGGGCTCACGAACACGTCAACTTAAGTTCGCTCATTCCCTCGCTCAATCACCCACCCACCCGGTTATTCAACCACTCGGTCATTAACCCAGTCACCCAAACATTCAGTCATTCAGCCACTCACCAACTCAGTTATTCAGCCAGTCACTTACCCGCCCACTGAGTCATTCATCCACTCATTCAATCACCTACTCAATGACTCACCCACTCAGTCATTCACCTCCAGATTCGCACGGTTGGCTGCGCACGGCACGAAAGAAGTTCAGCATACATACATTCAGCAACTGGAATCACTCACCGACGCGGTCATTCAGCCACGCGTACGAACGAGACTCGACACCCTGTGTCTCTTGAGGTTTAACCCTTGGTCGTACAAAACTCAACCTGACAGCAACCCAGAGGCTGCAGCTGTGCGACCCATGGGGGTGGTGGGTGGTGGGGGGGGTGATCCCTATCGGTGTGGTCATGCGATTTCCCAACCACCGCCGGGGAATTAAAGCCAATCGCGTGGCTGCAAGAGGGCGACTGAGCGGAGATTAATCCCGAGGCGAAGCGTTCGGGCGGGAGAGATCTCACCCCTGACCGCTTGGCGCACGCCGCGTTACAATCGCGCCCCTTGCACGCCCAGCAACTGCCTCTGCTGACGAGTCCCCGAATGTCGAAACCGCGTCCAGTGTTTTGTGGCGGCCTCAGGTTGACGGTATTGGACGAGTCTTATTTGCGAAGGGGGGCGCCACGGTGTCCAAATGTTAACTACCTCGCCTGGTGTGCAGGAGGTCGTGGATTCAATCCCGATGCTGGAGTCCACGTCTCTATCTCTCTCCCTGTGATCGCATGCGTTTTTCTCCGGGGCCTCCTGTTTTTCCCTCCACGTTTAATATCAGCATGTGGTTTAGAATGCTTGGCTGCTATAAATCTCCCCGTGATAAGCCACTTCGTTGTTCTATCATTCGTGATGGCCAGATCTTCTTCTGAAAAGGAGCTTCATAGCTCAGTGGGGGCCTTACGTGGCAAAACATTTTTTGTTTTGTTTAATATTCTGCTGCCACTATTGGGGCGATGATTGCAACTGTGCAGAGTAGCCTAGGGGCACCCCCAGTGGCAGCTGTCCCTGTGCACGAGTCTGCCGGTCGGGGAATCGATGATTGCTGCTGCTGTGCGTGTGTGGTCTAGCTTAGGGGCACCCCCAATGGAAGCTGTCCCTGTTCGTTAGTCTGCCAGTAGGGGGGCGATGATTTCTGTGTAATTCCAATTGAGAGTTGAACCAATGCTGCTCCAAAAACGCACTCCCAGAATGCTGTGTGGCTGATGGGATGAGTAAAAAATCCTTGTTATTTTCGTCTGGAGAATCTCACAGGCGAGAGAAGCAATTCGTCAACTTATTTGTTTACATTTGTAATTTAATGATTTGTGTTTACCCTGTCATAGCAACGTGGAATTTCCACCATCAGCTGGGGGCCACCAATAGAATGGAGATGACACTGCGTTGTATGTCTGAATGTGTGTATGTGTACCGTGCCGGCCTCAATAGGTGCTCGCGAACAGCACTTGCCCTAACAATCTGTTGAACGCGAAACTGGGGGAGCTTTGTCTTTATATGTGTTTCTGTGTGTGTCGTGCTTAGCACACTGCGCTACGAACCTAAGGGGCCGTCCATAAATGACGTCACGCGATTTTTGACCCCCCCCCCCCCTCGTCACACGGCGTCACAAAAGTCAGACCCCCCCCTGAAATATGACGTCACAAAGCTCTGCCCCCCCCCAAAAAAATATATAAAACATGCTTCAAATCGCTTTAAACATTTTAGTGCGTATTTAATGTGCCGCTGCACTCTGATGTTGTAGGAGAAAACATTTATTAAAAAGTCTATTTTATTAAGTAGGACATGTCTTTATTTAAAGTTGCGCTATTTGATGTGACGTCACATTTCTCAAAACCCCCCCCCTCTCGTCACATCGTTTCTGTCTGACCCCCCCCCCCCCCGGCCCCTAGCGGCCTGAGTTTCATTCCCGCTCAGGGCCAACACCAGTGACGAATTTATCTGAACCCGTCCTGGGCCACCACTAGGTCGACTCAGCCTTAAATGAGCACCTGGTGTAGCGGCGTGTAGTAAACATCGCCACTGGGGAGACAAAGGCGGCCGGGCGTGGTGCTGACCACCCACCCCCTCGTGTGCCGCGCCGGCCTTCATAGGTGCTGCTGCTACTCGCTAACAGCACTTGCCCCTACAGTGGACATGATCTACACGGGGATTTTTACATGACTCATAATTGTATAGTCACTCGGTTGGTTAGATATGGGTGCGTGTACAATGTTTGTGTATGTGTGTACAAGACAGTACGTATGTGTACAATGCAGTATGTTTGTGTGCATGTACAATATTTGTGTGTACAATACAGTATGTTTTTTTGTGTACAGTCTGTGTATATACAATGTGTATGTGTGTACACTATGATTGCGTGTGTACAATACGTGTGTGTACATTAAAGTATATTTGGGTGTGTGTGTATATAATGTTTGTGTGTATGTACAATGTGTGTGTACAGTCTGTGTATATACAATCTGTGTACAATATGATTGTGTGTGTACAATACGTGTGTGTACATTAAAGTATGTTTGGGTGTGTGTGTATAATGTTTGTGTGTATGTACAATGTGTGTATGTACAATACAGTATGTTTGGGTGTGTTTGTGTACAATCTATACGCCCACCTCGTACAGGATTTTGGAGTTACATTTTATGAAGGCATCGCCATTGAACCCTACGGGAGCCTTGATCTGGCTCTGTGAGCCTCACTGATTAACACAGAACCCTAAAAGAGGGAGCCTTGACCTGGCTCTGCGAGCCTCAGTGATAAACACTGAACCCTATGGGAGCCTTGATCTGGCTCTGTGAGCCTCAGTGATAAACACTGAACCCTATGGGAGCCTAAATCTGGGCTCTGTCAGCCTCAATGATTTACACTGAACCCTATGGGAGCCTTAATCTGGGCTATGTGAGCATCATTGATGAACACTGAACCCGGTAGCTGTGAGCCTCAGTGATTAACACTGAAAACTCTGGGAGCCGCAGTCCTGGCTGTGAGTCTCGGTGATTAACACTGAACCCTACGTGAAGGAGTCTTAGTCTGGCTCCGTGAGACTCTCCACTCACCTGTTATTGCTGCGGATGAGCGTCTGTGGCAGATGCTGCTCGTAGGAATTCCTCGTGTGGCCTCCAACAGATGCTGTGGTCCAAGTCAGGTGTTGGATTAGTTTAACGCGGAGACAGAGATCATCAAATGAATACACACGGACAGTAACATCAACTTTGAAACTCACACCTGCATGGATAAATAGCGACTCCCTGAGGCTCACAGAGCCAGACCAAGGCTCCCTCCCATTGGGTTCAGTGTTAATCACTGAGGCTCACAGAGCCAGACCAAGGCTCCCTCCCATAGGGTTCAGTGTTAATCACTGAGGCTCACAGAGCCAGACCAAGGTTCCCTCCCATAGGGTTCAGTGTTAGTCACTGAGGCTCACAGAGCCAGACCAAGGCTCTCTCCCATAGGGTTAGTGTTAATCACTGAGGTTCACAGAGCCAGACCAAGGTTCCCTCCCATAGGGTTCAGTGTTAGTCACTGAGGCTCACAGAGCCAGACCAAGGCTCCCTCCCATAGGGTTCAGTGTTAATTACTGAGGCTCACAGAGCCAGACCAAGGCTCCCTCCCATAGGGTTCAGTGTTAATCACTGAGGCTCACAGAGCCAGACCAAGGCTCCCTCCCATAGGGTTCAGTGTTTATTACTGAGGCTCACAGAGCCAGACCAAGGCTCCCTCCCATAGGGTTCAGTGCTAGTCACTGAGGCTCACAGAGCCAGACCAAGGCTCCCATAGGGTGCTGTGTTATTCACTGTAACTGCCCTCCTGATTCTTAATTTCAGCTGGAGTTATCCAGGGCTGAACTCCGTAAAATAGGCACGGCTTCAAGTTTTTCTCAGGCCGTTTTTATTCAACCGATAAATCCACATGCCCTTCATCATCATCATCAGCAAGTGCACCCATCGCCATCAGCAGTACCAAGAGTATAGCGATCATCATCAGCTGCAGTAGCAGAAGCAACCGCGATCATAACTCAGCAAATAGAACAGCGGCAGTGTCATCATCATCAGCAGCAGCAGCAGAAACAGTAAACATCAGCAACAACTTTATCATTAGCAGCAATAACATAACCACTATCATCACCAGCAGTAGTAGTAGCAGTATATCCATTACACTCGCAACAACACTGCCGCCACCACCACCACCATCACGGTCGATAAAGCAGGTGGTACTAATTGGTCACTTTGCACCAAGAAATCAGAAATGGGGGTTGTGTTGTGGCTCTTGTGCGGATTGGTCCCGGCCATAGAAATGTGGAATGACCACCACGGGTGATGGGCCGCCAGAGGAGACGGCTCATCTTCCCCAATGCCCACTCCATGTTGTGTTTGTGGTTTAAGATTTACGAAGTTAACTCTGTCTTGTACCCTAGTGCTAGTACCTTGCCCCGATAATCCATCCCCTCCAGGCCAGCCTCGGCAGCGTTCCGGAAAACATCGAGAAATTAATGAGCCCTGATTTTGATGATTACATGGCCAGCGAAGACCCCCGTATAGACATAACAGACTGTTGGGGCACGTGCTGTGAGCGAGTAGCAGTATCTATGCAGGGCGGCACGGCACACGATGGGGTGGATGGCGAGCACCACGCCCGGCCGCCTTTGTCTCCCTAGCGGTGATGATTTACACATCACACCAGGTACTCATTTGAGGCTGAGTCGACCTAGGGGAGGCACAGGAACCGGTTGAGATAATCGTCACTGATGTTGGTGGCCGTGATTGGGAATCGAACTCTGGGCGCCAGGTTCGTAGTGGAGCGCGCTAACAGCTACACGACAGCGCCCCACCACCATCACTATCACCACTATCACTATCACCACTATCACTATCACCACTATCACTATCACCACTATCACTACCACAATCACCACCACTATCACCACCATCACTATCACCACCACTATCATCACTATCACTACCACAATCACCACCACTATCACCACCATCACTACCACAATCACCACCACTATCACTATCATCACTACCACCACCATGAATCAGCACTGTCACCATCATCACCACCACCATCACTATCACCACTATCACTATCACCACTATTACTACCACAATCACCACCACTATCACCACCATCATCATCACTATTCGCCACCACCCTCACGACTATCACCATCACTATTCACCAGCACAAGCATCACCACCCTCACTACTATCACCATCATCACCATCATCATCACTATTCACCACCACCCTCACGACTATCACCATCATCATCACCATCATCATCACTATTCACCACCACCTTCACCACTATCACCATCATCACCATCATCACTATTCATCACCACCTTCACCACCACCATCATCATCACTATTCATCACCACCTTCACCACTATCACCATCATCACCATCATCATCATCACTATTCACCACCACCCTCACCACTATCACCATCATCACCATCATCATTATTCATCACCACCTTCACCACCACCATCATCATCACTATTCATCACCACCTTCACCACTATCACCATCATCATCACCATCATCATCACTATTCACCACCACCTTCACCACTATCACCATCATCACCATCATCATCACTATTCACCACCACCTTCACCACTATCACCATCATCACCATCATCACTATTCATCACCACCTTCACCACCACCATCATCATCACTATTCATCACCACCTTCACCACTATCACCATCACCATCATCATCACTATTCACCACCACCTTCACCACTATCACCATCATCACCATCATCATCATCACTATTCACCACCACCTTCACCACTATCACCATCATCACCATCATCACTATTCATCACCACCTTCACCACCACCATCATCATCACTATTCATCACCACCTTCACCACTATCACCATCATCACCATCATCATCACTATTCACCACCACCTTCACCACTATCACCATCATCACAATCATCATCACTCTTCACCACCACCTTCACCACTATCACCATCATCACCATCATCATCACTATTCACCACCACCTTCACCACTATCACCATCACACCGCCACGCTCACTCACCTGCCTCTCTTTGTCCTCCGTCTCCTCTCTCTCGCTCTCACTCAGCGGGGCTCCCACGCCTCTCGCTCCGCTTGGGGTTGGGTCTCAACGCCGGGGTCCGGGTGTGGCCGACCCGGTCCCCGCTACCACCGGGTGCGGGGCTCTGCCGGGGACCGGCCAGACCGGCTCGGCTCCTCGGAGAAATGTCACAGCCCCTGGGAGTGTCTGCGTGTGTGTGTCTTGTGTATGTAGTGTAGTGTGTATGTGTGTATGTAGTGTAGTGTATGTGTGTATGTGGTGTGTATGTAGTGTAGTGTGTATGTAGTGTAGTGTGTATGTAGTGTAGTGTGTATGTAGTGTAGTGTGTATGTAGTGTGTGTGTATGTAGTGTATGTGTGGGTCTCTATCGACATCTGTGTGGGTATGTAGTGTGTGTATGTATGCGGTCTGTGTGTAGTGTGTGTGTATGCCGTGTGTATGTATGTGGTGTGTGTGTAGTGTGTGTATGTATGTAGTGTGTGTACTGCTCGCGAACAGAACTTGCCACAAGTCTGTTCAGGCTATACGGGGGATCTTTTTCTTTGTGTAGTGTGTGTCTGTGGGGTATGTGTGGTGTGTGTGTGTATATGTACTGTGTGTTCAATGTGTGTACTGTGTGTGTATGTAATGTGTGTAATGTGTGTGTACGTAATGTTTGTTATGTAGTTTGTGTGTGGGGAGCGGTAGTGTAGCGGTTAGCGCTACGCTGCGCTACGAACCTGACAACCCGAGTTCGATTCCCGCTCACGGCCAACACCCGTGACGATGATCCGAACCGGTCCTGGGCCTCCCCTAGGTCGACTCAGTCTCAAATGAGTCCCTGGTGCGATTTATGAACATCGCCAATGGGGAGACAAAGGCGGCCGGGCGTGGTGCTGGCTACCCACCCCCTCGTGTGCCGTGCAGACCTTCATAGATGCTACTCGCTAACAGCTAACAGTACTTGCCCCAACAATCTGTTCAGGCTATACGGGGGATCTTTGTCTTCGTTTGTGTATGGATCTATGTGTGTGTCTGTGTCTGCGGAAAGTGACGTGTATATTAGTGTATTTGCGTGGATGTATGCGTACGTATGTCTCTACGTCCCTGTGTGTATCCACGTGTGTCAATTTACATGTTGTGTCAACATACTGTGTGTGTGGCACGGTGGGGAAACAGGTGGTGCATCTGCCAGTCAACCCACGGCACCTGCAGGGTCTGTCCCGTGACCTCCTGCACCTAGCCTGGCACAGCAGTCAACCCCCGGCACCTTGGTCTGTCCCGTGACCTCCTGCACCTAGCCTGGCACAGCAGTCAACCCACGGCACCAGGGCCTGTCCCGTGACCTCCTGCACCTAGCCTGGTACAGCGGTCAACCCACGGCACCTGGGTCTGTCCCGTGGCCTCCTGCACCTAGCCTGGCACAGCAGTCAACCCATGGCACCTTGGTCTGTCCCGTGACTCCTGCACCTAGCCTGGCACAGCAGTCAACCCATGGCACCTGGGTCTGTCCCGTTGATTCCTGCACCTAGCCTGGCACAGCATTCAACCCACGGCACCTGGGTCTGTCCCGTGACCTCCTGCACCTAGCCTGGCACAGCATTCAACCCACGGCACCTGGGTCTATCCCGTGACCTCCTGCACCTAGCCTGGCACAGCATTCAACCCACGGCACCTGGGTCTGTCCCGCGACCTCCTGCACCTAGCCTGGCACAGCAGTCATCTCACGGCACCTGGGTCTGTCCCGTGACCTCCTGCACCTAGCCTGGTACAGCGGTCAACCCACGGCACCTGGGTCTGTCCCATGACCTCGTGCACCTAGCCTGGCACAAGCGCCACATCACCTCTTGTCGTTGATGGTGTGGGTGGCTTTACTTGTGTGTTCGCCACGAACCCGGCCACGGCTGACATCATCAGTACCATCCTCACGGCTGGTATCGTATCTCCGCTGGGGCGGAAAGACAAAGGCGGTCATGCGTGGCCCCAGGCGGCCAGACCAGTCCGATGGGTTGCGGACTGGTCTGACCGCCCCTACTCCTAAAGAGATGGAGGGATTAAGACTGAATTTTCTTTGGGCACCAACACACACACACACACCACAAAGATAAAGATCCCCCGTGTAGCCTCTCGTAGGCTGATGGGGCAAGTGCTGTTGGCGAGTAGCAAACCACTAATGCCGGAACGGTGTGGCAACCACCAAGACGCCCAGCCGCCTTTGTCTCCCCAGCGCTGATGTCTGATTACACACCGCACCAGGTGACTCATTTAAGGCTGAGTCGACCACGCGTAGGCCCAAGTCCGGTTAAGATAATCGTCACCGGCACAACGCGCTAACCGCTCTACCCCCCACCACACACAAAGGCAAAGATCCCCCGTGTAGCCTTCACAGACTGTTGGGGCAAGTGCTATTAGCGAGCACCTATGACGGCCGGAACGGCACACGAGGGGGTGGGTGGCTAGCACCACGCCCGACCGCCTTTGTCTCCCTAGTGGCGATGTTTACACACCGCACCAGGTACTCATTTGAGGCTGAGTCGACCTAGGAGAGGCCTGGGACCGGTTCAGATAATCATCACTGGTGTTGGCCGTGAGCGGGAATCGAACCCGTGTCGCCAGGTTCATAGTGCAGCGCGCTAACCGCACACACAGATACACACACTGACACATACACACAGATACACACACTGACACATACACACATACACACACTGACACATACACACATACAGATACACACACTGACACATACACACATACACACAGATACACACACTGACACATACACACAGACACACACAGATATACACACTGACACACACAGATACACACACTGACACAGACACACACACAGATACACACACTGACACATACACACAGACACAGATACACACACTGACACATACACACAGACACACAGAGATACACACACTGACACATACACACAGACACACAGAGATACACACACTGACACATACACACAAACACACAGATATACACACTGACACACACAGACACACACAGACACACACACTGACACATACACACATACACACGCACAGATACACACATATACACACACACTGATACATACACACAGATACACACACTGACACATACACACACAGACACACACAGACTCACACAGACACACACACACAGATACACATACACACAGACACACACATACACACAGACACACAGATACACACACTGACACGTACACACAGTCACACGCACAGACACACAGATACACACACTGACACACGCACAGGTGCACACACCTACACGTAAATATGGCAACGCATACCACGCTGGGCTATAAGCACCAGGAATGCCCACAACACATACCCAAGTAGCCTCTGACTAACTCTTCCGGAATGCGCCAGATCTCTGGACATCTCTTACCTGTGTGGATGGGGCAACCACGACAATGGGCAGGACAATATCAATGGACCGTTTTTGTCGTTATCAAAGGATGACAAAATAAGAATAGGTTCTATTGCCAGAAAGGGTAAAACCTATTCTTATTTTTGATAGTGGTCAGACCTGGGGGGCTGTCTATAAATGACGTCACGCGATTTTGGGCGATTTTTGACCCCCCCCCACACCCCCCATCGTCACACTGCGTCACAAAAGTCAGACCCTCCCTTCAAATATGACGTCACAAAGCTCTGCCCCCTCCCCCCAAAAAAATAAAACGTGCTTCAAATCGCTTTAAACTATTGTCATTGTAGTGCGTATTTAATGTGGCGCTGCACTCTGATGCTGTAGGAGAAAACATTTATTACAAAGTCTATTTAATTAAGTAGAACGTGTTGTCTATATTTATTTAAAGTTGCGCATTTTGATGTGACGTCACATTTCTCAACCCCCCCCCTAGGTGCGTGACGTCATTTATGGACGGCCCCTGTACCAATACCCGCCATTTGCCACTAAGTGATGGTGACGTCACCACGGCGCCTGTGCCAGGCTAGGTGCACTTTGAGGCCACGTGAAGTGTCCAAGGCTCTCTGAGAGGAGGACGCGGGACAGACCCAGCAGGTGCCATGGGTTGACCGACTGAGATGACCTGCGGAAGAACCACCGGTGCCCCCCTACTGTGCCAGCCTGATCCGGTGTATTACACCCGGCGCTCCGCTCGTTGTTGTGAGCATCGCTCCCCTGCCCTCAGTCCTCACCCCTACCTAAGGTCTATTGCGCTCCGCCTGTACCAGCGTGGTGAAGTATGGTTATTTGAACACCGCCCCCCCCCCCCCCCATGACCCCCTTCCTGCAGTGGATAGACAATAGCTGCTGGTGATTGTCATCATTGTGTCGCGAATTCAACTGAGTCGCTGACGTACATCTTGGAGGCAACACATGTTTTATTAACACCAACACATTAACTCAAGGGGGTTACTGCCCCTTTACCAGATAACCTATGGTGGTGGACCACCAGGCTAGCTACGCTAGTTACCGGGAGTAGCTACAACGGACAGGACCCTGGCTTGGGTCCTCGTCCACGTGTTGGTGACTTCTTCTTGGACGTAGATCGTAGATCTTCAGATGACGAGAGCAACGCTGGAACCCCGGTCCCTGTGAGGACCCGGTTTAAATGCTCCCGGGTCGTGGCTGGCCCCGCCCTTGGCCACGACCACCTTCGAGAAACCTCCTGGGGTTTCTCGACCCCTCCCGTAGGATCTCACCCTGACACGTGACCACCCCCTAGCCTCCACCTGGGGCCCTGTGTAGATCTTACTGGTCACGTGACTTCCAGGGTCAACCAGAGTGCCATGGCCCAGGGTAACCTCTTCCCATGGCTGACACTCTCACTCCCTCCTGTAGGAGTCAGCTCAGCACGCCACGCGTGGTGCCACTCAGCGCTATCCCAGCGCTCACCGAGCCCCCTCTAGGGCTGGTACTACACCCACCTACGGGGTGTCCGCGATGACGATGCATCGCACGCCGTGCCTCGCTAGAGCCGGCATTACTGAGTGACATTCACGATGTCACTACACACGTGATGTCCACGATGTGAGTACATCGCACGCCGTGCCTCTCTTAGGGCCGTCACCACACAGTGACATCTTAGATGTCACTACAATTGCAACTGCGATCATGATGACCATCACCTCATCATCACCACGGCCACCAAAAGACAAAGATCCCCCCTGTAGCCTTAATAGACTGTTGCGGCAAGTGCTGTTAGTGAGCACCACACTACACACCCACTACATACATCCAACAACAACCGCCATTCGCCACTAAGTGGCGGTGACGTCACCACGACGCT